TGACATCCATTTTGACCTTTTCCTTTTTTCTTGTCTTCTTAATGACTTTTTGCTTTCTTCATGTGTGATGTTCTTGATGTCATCCCACAGCTCTTCTGGTCTTCAGTCTTTAATGTTTAATGTAGCAAATCTGTTCTTCAGATGATCTTTAAATTCAGGTGGGATATATTCAAGGTCATATTTTGGCTCTCATGGATTTGTTTTCATTTTCTTCAGCTTCAGTTTGAATTTGCATGTAAGTAATTGATGATCTGTTCCACAATCTGCACCTGGCATTGTTTTGACTGATGATACAGAGTAATCTCTTTCCTCGGATGTAGTCAATTTGATTTCTGTGTATTCTGACTGGTGAGGTCCATGTATATAAGACTCTTATGCTGTCTAAAGAAGGTATTTGAAATGAACAAATCATTAATTTTGCAGAATTCTATCATGCTATCTCCAGCATCATTTCTATCACCAAGGCCATATTTTCCAACTACTGATTCTTCTTCTTTGCTTCCAACCTTTGTATGCCAATCACCACTGATGATCAATACATTTTGATTGCATGTTTGATCAATTTCAGAAATGCAACACCATTCCCCTTCAATTTGTCATTCTTGGCATTGTAAACCATGTGATTGTCAGATTCAAGATGGCCAATACCAGTCCGTTTCAGCTCACTAATGCCTAAAATATTGATGTTTATGTGTTCCAATTCATTTTTGACAAGTTTTACTTTTCCTAGATCCATACTTCACACATTTCATGCCCAATTATTAGTGGATGTTTACAGCTGTTTCTCTTCATTTTGAGTTGTGCCCCATCAGCAAATGAAGGTCCCACGGTCTTTACTCCATTCACGTTATCACAGTCTACTCTACTTTGAGGAGGCAGCTCTTCCCCAGTTGCATTTTGAATGTCTTCTAACCTGAGGGGCTCATTTTCCAGCACTGTATCTGACAGTGTTTCTCTGCTCTTCATAAGGTTTTCAGTGACTAAATATTCAGAAGTAGTTCATCACTCCTTCTTCCTAGTCTGTCTTCATCTGGAAGCTCATCTGAAACCTGTCCACCATGGGTGACCCTGCTGGTATTTAAAATATTGGTGGCATGGCTTCCA